CTTATTTGAAAAAAACTTAAACTTATTTTATTTCAGCTAGTTAACTAAAGCAACATTTCTAATTTTCATCTAGTTTAACGTGATGCATTAAAGTAACTAAAACTGAAATAAAAATAATAAAAAAGACTATTTAGACATATTTTAAAAATAATAATAATAAAGAAAAATATAAAATAAAAATTTTAAAATATAATGGCAAATATAAAAATAAAACTATATTATATCTCAATAAATACTAAAATAACACTGGTAGTAATAAATAACTGAAATAAAGTAAAAAAAAATATATATATTTTTTTTTTTTTGGGGGGGGGAAAAATTAAGTTTAAAACTTTAAAGTTTAAAACGTTAACTAAAGCAACATTTCTCATTTTCATTTAGTTTCACTTGATGTATGAAAGTAACTAAAACTAAAACTGAAATAAAAATAATAAAAATATAGATATTAAAAAAAATTAAAATAAATAAATAAAAAAATGACAAAAAAAAGGCAAATACAAAAATAAAACTATATCTCAATGATGCTAAAAAAAATAACACTGGTAGTAATAAATAATTTTAAAAGAAATAACTAAAAATAAAGCTATTATTATAAATACACAGTTAATTCATTTTTACCCAAATAATATTTTAGTAAAAAGGTAAAAAAAGTAGCCTGGCACCACCATGTTTTTTGAACACATACCACATTAATACCATGGTTTTGGACACAAACCATTGTTTTCTGACAAGAACAATGGTGATACCATGTTTTTTTTGTTGGTAAAATCATGATATTTCTTTGGACGTACAACAAATATGGCATTACTACACGAACCATGCAATACCGTGTTTTTTGACATCTGCCACTGTATTAACCTGAACACAATAGTACTACTTTGGTAAATGTCTAAAAAACATGCTAGAAGTACCATGGTATTCTTGGAAGCACACTGGAAAACCACGTAAATACAATGTCTTCTGGACACAAACCATGGCAATACTTGGTTTTTTATAAGTACCATGGTGATACCATGTTTGTTTGGGTAAAACTATGGTAAAATCATGGTTTTTATTAAGACATGTAATGGTAATGCCATGCTTTTTGTACATGAACCATGTAATACCATGTTTTTTGACGTGCCATTGTACTGTCATGAATACCATAGTACTACCTTGGTAAATGTCTTAAAAAAACATGCTAGTACAATGGTATTCTTTCACGTACACTGGAGTACCATGTATATACAATGGTTTTTGTAAACAAACTATGGCAGTACCTTGCTTCTTGACAAGTACTATGTTTTTTAGGTAAATACTATTGTAACAATGGGATTTCTTTGGACATGTAATGGTATTTTTTGGCATGTACTATGGTACTTCTATGATTACCATAGTACTACCATGGTAAAAATCCCCCCCAAAAAACTAAAGAGTCTAAAAAATGCCATGGTATTCTTTGTAGCACACTAAAGTATCATGTAAATACCATTGTACCACAGTATTGCCGTCACTGTACCCCGGTACAGCACTTTTCATACTAAACTGGCCCTCAGATTTTGAAATCTCATTATTTATCACAAGCAGAAAAAAGAAACAGTCTCAAAAACCTACACATTCCTTCAGTATCATGTTGCTTTGCATTCAAGGACTGAATTAACCCAATGCAATCCGAACTTCTTACTGTATAATCAGACATTTCCGCACCGGCCTTGCGGAGCATATATAGTTAGCTACACTCATTAAATGCACTCAACATGCCTTGTGTGTGAGAGAGAGAGCATAAATGCGCATACAGGTACATGCACATGCTGCTTAGCCTTATTTGCAGGTTTTGAATAATTCATGGTTTTTGATGAATTGTGCATCACAGCATATGGAGTTCCTCTGGTTACAGTCAAGGTTCGGCGCAGCACCGCAGCAGAATTACAAACGAGGCTCATGGGAAAGTGCAGAGGCCGGAGAGATCACAGGGCGGTGGGCCACGAAACCAAGCGTATCTTTAATTCCGCTGCTGTTTATCCCTCGGTACAGCTGGCCGGCATAGAAACACCCCGGCATTAATTACCTTCAATTTGAGCACTCTCGCAGCACAGACCGCCCTCAGTGAACATCAAACGCTCTTAATAACAGCGCGAGAGGAAATGCGACACACATTTGGCTTCGAGGGCTTCCACAAGAGCTCATTTCCTAAAGGTTAAAGCCGGTGTTTGTCATGTACAGCTGCGGGTTATGGAGGAGCGGACAATGCAATTCAGATGAGATGCAGAGCTTGAGATTTAGCTTGGGACATGTAGGGATTTGCAAGGTCTGCGACACATGGGAAACAAATTGTGTGCTGCGCTCACAGGCGGGACTCGTTAACTAGCGGGAAGCTGACTTGGGTGGGTGGGTTAGTCAGGCGCGTGGGTTGAGCCAGGTGTTGTAATAGTAACACGGGTCTCAGCGTGCATGTGTTTTCATGTTTAAGTGTTGTCTAATGACTAATGTCTTTAGCGATAATTGGCCTCGTTTCAAATCGAACACCGGAAATATTCCTTCCCTGTTAAAAAAACCAGCATATGCTGTTTAGGTATGTTTTGATGCTGGGATGCTGGTTTAAGCTGGTCCTTTGCTGGTTGTTTGCAACAATACTGTATATTTGAACCAATCACTTGACGTCTGACTGATCAGTGCTTATTAGAGAGGAAAAACACAAGTCTATTTCATGCTGTTAAAAGCCCTGTTTCAAATTATGTTACTTGCAAAGAAATCATTTTGTCAAAACACATGGCTACTTTTAAATAGCTGTCAACTGTTACACCTAATGTTGTTAAATGAATGTTTATTGCATTATTTCAGTTTCATGTGTGTTACCGTGATGGTGTTTAGTGTTTGTGTGAATGACACTGTGCAGCTTCTATATATGTTAGTATTTAAAAGCTGCTTGTGATGGGCTTTGGTTCATCGTGTGACTTTCTCATCACCTCCTGCATTTGGTGGTTATCAGTGTATTACAAAGCTACAAAACAGATTTCAGTACTTCAACAGGTTGCTATATTAACATTATATCAGTTAATGAAATTACTGTATTTAACTGTAAATTTAAGTTAAAACCGTAAAACCTAAAATGTTGCTACCGTATTTTTTATGGTAAAATTCCGGCAACCACAGCTGCCAGTTTTTTACCTTAAATTTTACCTTTTTTTTTACAGTGCATGCATTCGGGCAAAACGTCTTTTGTAATTGGTTAGAGAGTAAACATTGGACATTGATTGGTTAATGAAGTGCCTGTGAGCGGTTTTTGTCCTAATAGTTGTGAAAAGCATGCCAGAGAGGGTGCTTCACAAATTTTAGTGTATTAATAAAGTATGCAAAAGACTCCCAGATGATCTACTTTTCTGGTGGATTTTTAAAGTGTGCATCTGTGCATGCTCTTTCGGTTGACATTATCCACAGAAAAAGGAATCTAATACGGCAATGTATGCTTTTTCTTGACTAACGTTTCTACTAGGATGGTTTAGATGTTAATCGTAGCTGTTGCATTATTTTTATCTTGTGTTCTGATAGCCAATCTGTTTGCAATTTACGCTAAAACAGCATTTGCAACACACTATTCTTCTGTAATGTGATGCATTTCTGAGTGATTCAGGACATTGATTGGTTAATGAAGCGCCACTTTTAAGTTTGCATCCTAATAGTTATAAAAAGCATGCAAGAATACGTGCTTCCTAAATCATAAGGTGTTGAAAATAGTATGCAAAAAACCTCCCAGATGATGTTTTTGGTGGATTTTTTGATGCATGCATCTGTGCATGGTCTTTTGGCTAATATTATTCATATGTTGTCTTTAAGACTCTTGATGAAAGACTTTGAGTTGTGGAGTTTAAGCGTCATTCTTCCAGCACCCTGCTGATATATGACAGCACTGCGAGTCTTAATTATTGTTCTATAAGTTTAGCTGCCTGTTTTCCTTGCTGTAAATGAAAGTGCATGAGCGTGAGGGTTCACACAGCTGCAGCAAATCCACTAGAAACCATGTTTAATGAATGAAGCAGTATTCCAAACCAAATTAATTAATATTTAAACTTCTATAACCATTTGCCATCTGTTGAGATCAATGCAGATGTCTTTAATTGTGCATGCGGAGCGCTTCATGCAAAAAAAGCACCGCAATAAAATCGTTTAAGCACCATATAATAAAAGGGTCATGAGCGCTCGTGAACGTGAATGTTCACCTGTCTTTAGCAGCTTGAATATTCCTGTAATATATTGTGTAATGGAGGGAGATGATCTGATTTGCCATCCGTGATCTACCAGCGTTTCCATCTGTGTTGGCCATGCGTTTTAGCCCACATTTACATTAATAACTCTCTCCCAGAAAGACAGAATTACTTTGGGGCTTTTTAACGATGCCAGACAGAAATTCGATTAAGATTAATTCGAGCCCAGCAAGCAATTTTGGGGGAGGTTAGAAGCAATTTCTCCGTACATCATTGGCCACACAATGCCTCTAATGCTGTGAACGTAGCAGCCTCTGTATTACCGACGCTCCATCTAGCATTTCCATCTGCACACCTCCGTTATTCTCTGAAGAAAAGCCCATTACCCCTCCTAAACTCCTTTCAAACTTTGATGCGCATCCCGCAATTAAAGACACGCACTGCATTATTGGAAATGGAACGAGCCTTTTGGGTCCTTCAGTGAAATCAGAGGAAAAAGATTAGGAATGGCTGCATTCACAACAGCATGCTATTCTTACTTAGTTTTGCAGTATGCATTCTCTCATGTATCATATGCACATTTTCTGTAAGCGTCAGTGTTATTTTAGTATCATTGAGGTACAGTGTTGGGGAAAGTTACTTTTAAAAGTAATGCATTACAATATTGCATTACTCCCTAAAAAAGTAACTAATTACGTCACTTAGTTACTTTTTATGGAAAGTAATGCATTATATTACTTTCGCGTTACTTTTATTCAGCTAAAATATTTGGTATAAACCTACGATTCTCTAAATGTTAAGTTTTGTTTTCTTACAGAACTCAAGTAATGGACAATGGTGAGTGAGTGGATATTTTTATCAGCAGAAATGCTTATAACCTCTGTATACCGGTACAAACTTGCATTGCACCTCACTGTGGTTTTTTTAGTAAATGAACATTTCTGAGGTCATGATTGGTATGACGTTGAGGTGTGATTTTTTTTTATTTAAAGAAAACATAAAATTCATGACAAATTCTCTTTTTTAGACAACCGAGATGCAAATTCTGGTACTATTGAAGTGCAGGAAGAGAAAACAGAGGTACATATTTTATTTATTTTTTAATTACTTTTGAAATGATAATTAAAACGTGAGAATGAATTATGAATGTTTTTATGAACATGATTTTGTGAAATACTAATTTGTAATGTTTAATTTCAACATGTTTTTCACAGACCGTAGAGGATGAGCTATTATATGCCACAGTGAATCATTCAGGTGCTGGTGAAAACTCTGGTCCTGCAGTGAAGTTTGAATCAGGAACGGATTACGCCACAGTGGTCATACACTGAACAACCTGTAACACTGAATTGATTTTTTTTCCCTCAGGGATTTTAGCCACCAAGGATGAAATAAAAATTATATGTGCTATTTTGAGCAAATTTCTTATGGTTCTCATGACTTGATTTTAGATAATAAACTCACCTGAAAGAATATGTTCATTTGATTAATACAAATCAGAAAGTGGTTGAATTAGTAGGGGAGTTGACATTAGGTTTGCTATAATGACACTCTATCCAGCAACCAGGGAAGGGCTCTATTGCTACATGTATACACTTCTTGATGACAGGTATAGTTAACTTGAAACTCATCTATATGAAACTATCTTTACAGATTAAATCCCCACAAAATCATTCTGTAGGTTATAGAATAGGTTAGCACAGGATACTTAATTTGTTTGCTAAATAAATTTGTTTTCAGATACATCATAGTACATGCAGTATCAGGAAAAAAGTCTCTGTTTTATCAGTTTATATAAGCCGATATAATGAAATGTGTGACATGCAGTGTTGGGGAAAGTTACTTTTAAAAGTAATGCATTACAATATTGCGTTACTCCCTAAAAAAGTAACTAATTACATTACTTAGTTACTTTTTATGGAAAGTAATGCGTTATATTACTTTTGCGTTACTTTCGCGTTACTTTTTAAATATAAGCAGGGTTTGATTGTTTTTAATATAAGAAGTTATATTTATAGCAAATATAAAAGCCCTTTCAAAAAGTGTAATGAATAAACCTCAGGCTGAAGCAAAAGTACATTCAGGTCTGTACAGTAGAACGCAGGAGAAGAAACACTCTTCAGCAATAAAAAAACAAAGCATAATTGTTAGTTTATCTAAAGTCAGTTTTGCTTATTAGTACGGTTGAACTGGATCATCAAAGGCCAGCAGCAAAGACATTGGTTAATAAAATGGGATTAGATACATTTGTGTTATTTAACATATTTAATTATTGCAGGTTTGCGTCATATTCTGAGTTTGCATTTCACTGTTTTAATTCATTTTGATGAATACTAAATCTGGTTTTTGTGAGTGGGATGAATTAATGCACATTAACATTTAGTCTAGAGCTACAGTAATCATGTTCACACAGCGCACACAACGCCTCTGCACTCCTGATTTCTCCCAGTATGGGGACAGGAGGGCTGTCAGTCAATACATGAGAAACAAGGTAACTGATATTTTCTTGTAAATTAAAAAAGTAATTCGTTACTTTACTAGTTACTTGACAAAAGTAATCTGATTACGTAACTCGCGTTACTTGTAATGAGTTACCCCCAACACTGTTGAGGTACTAGTTTTAATTAATATTTTGTATAAGTTTTTATTTTTATTTTTATATTTTCATTTTATTTTAAGCTTTCGTAACTTCGTTGTGCATTTTTATAATTGTTAGTAGTTTTTTGTTCAGTTTTAGTTATTTTAGTACATTTTATTTTAATTGTGGACAAGTTCAACTAAATTAAAATGAGAAATTTTGCCTTGGCAACTAGCTAAAAAAAAAAGAGTTGTATTTTATTATGTTATTTGAGTAAATTTGTTTATTTAATTTATTGTTTCAGTTTTTAGTTTTAGTTAACTATAATAACCCTGGTATGCATATATGCAGTATTGTATCCCATAATGCAATGCACTCGAAATGAACTGTTATACTGTTTCCTTTCTCTTTCTAGACTTGTTTAATTCATTATTTAATCAGACTAAATAAAGCTGTCTTTTTGTTAAAATACTGTCCCATATCACAGTTTAATATGCAAAAGCAATAGGAAACCTGTTTGAATACAGCCATTATTTTTGCAATTTCATTTGGTGACACTAAAAGTGTAAAACTTCACCTATAAGACAAAAAAAAATCTATCAATGTATATATTTGTTCACATGTTAAATAGTATTCAGACTACCAATAACAAGTCTGTTGTTGTCAAGATTTTCAGTAACACTTTATTTCGATAGTCCACTTTAGACATTCTATTAACAGTAAGTAACTTTACAACTACATGTCAACTAGCAGTTAGTAGAGTATTAGTAGACTGTCTGCTTAATATCTTCTAACACTTTCTTTGTCAACTTATTCTACTAACCCTAAACCTACCCTAGCAGTCTACTCTGAGAGTTAGTAGACACGTAGTTGCAAATTAATGAGAATTAGTTGACATGTAGTTAACATGTAGTTACAAAGTTACTTATAGTTAAAATAATGTCTAAAGTGGACTATCAAAATAAAGTGTAACCAGATTTTTTAATGTTTTTGATTCAAAAACATTAGCATTTATCTCATTTAAAATTGTGAAATATTATTAGAATTTAAAACAGCTGTTTTCTATGTGAATATCTGTTAAACTGTAATGTATTTCTGTGATGCGCAGCTGTATTTTCAGCATCATTACTCCAGTCTTCAGTGTCACATGATCTTCAGATAATTCTAAGATGCTGATTTGCTGCTCGAGAAACATTTCTGATTATTATCAATGTTGCAAATTTGTAGAATTTTTTAAAAAACTGATACATTTTATTTTTCGGGATTCTTTGATGAATAGAAAGTTCATACAATGATATAACATTCATATAACTTTATAAATGCCTTTACTGTCACTTTTGATTAATTTAATGCGTCCTGTATTGTACAACACTTTCTTTCTCGTCCCAGAGATTTTCACAAAGGTCATCCCTGACCGCGAGAGATGCCTCGTCTTTGCTTAATACAGATCACCTGGCTTCACTGGATAATTTATCACGCCGAGCCGCTGGAGAGATACGAGCGACGGCTGCGTTATGCCTCCTGTATTCTCAGATGGGCCGCATTATGATGCCGTTTAAAGCGGATTCCTCAGGCTAGACGGACCCGATCCGTCTCCTTCCATCAGACCCCTGCAGACATCAAAGACGGGTCTCAGAAGGCACGGGACGGAAGGACGCTGTCGGCTGGATGTTAGCACTAAATATGAGTTGACCCCTGACGGTAATGGCTCTCGCTGGGTGTCTCGGAGTAATTTGTCTGTGGCGATGAACAGGTAGCGTGGTGACATGAGAGTAAATGTTTGTCTTTGCTCTGTGTTTACACTGTGTACTCAGGCTTATGAGCAACAGGGACGAGGAACCTGAAGAGAAATCTTTCCCATCGCTCGCTCTCGTCCTGAATCTTACATTCCCACTGGCAAGGTGTCGAGACCTATTATAGTAAATGAGAAAAAATCTCATCATGATACAATAGAGTCATTTACAACTCTGTTTTTATGCTGACATTTTACATACTAATCACATCTGGGCCAATTAATTAAGGGATAGTTCATGCAGAAACGATCATTCTGTCTTTTACTCACCTTCATGAAACTAACAGAAAAGATGTTTAGCAGAAGCTTGTGCGGTTTTCCATATAATCATATTTGTATGTCAATATTTAAAGTCTTCTGTATCCATGCGATAGCTTTGTGCAAGATATAAACTGAAATTAAAAGTTGTTTAAGACTGCAGATATTCCATATAATATACTATTTTTAAAAAGTAATACTTTTATTCAGCAAGGTTGTATTACATTGATCAAAAGTGACAATAAAGACATTTACGATGTTGCAAAAGATTTCTATTTCAAATAAATGCTGTTCTTTTGAACTTTCTATTCATCTGTGAATCCTGAAAAATAAAATGCATCAGTTTCCACAAAAATATTGTGCAGCACAACTGTTTTCAACATTGATAATAATCAGAAATGTTTCTTGAGCAGAATATTATACTGATTTCTGAAGATCACGTGACACTGAAGACTGGAGTAATGATGCTGAAATTACAGCTTTGATCTCAGAAATAAATTACAGTTTAACAGAGATTCGCATAGAAAACAGCTGTTTTAGATTGCAATAATATTTCACAATTTTTTATGCATTTTTGACCAAATAAAAACAACCTTGGTGAGCAGAAGAGACCGTTCAAACACATTAAAAATCTTACCGACCCCAAACTTTTGAACGGTAGTATTCATTGCATATTGGTCATTTTTTGGAGAAAAATATCATACTGGCATTGAAACAACATGTAAGTGAGTAAATAATGACTGAATGCTTTTATTATTAGGTAATTATTAGTTGAATAATAATACAAACATAATTTTAATAGGATAGTTTGCACTGTTAATATTTGAAATGTAGTGATTGTCATTCTGAATAAATTAACTTTAGACTGAACAAAAAGATTGAACTTCCATTATATTCCCTTTAAACACTACGAGTATCTCTCCTGGCGGTTATAATAATCCCAGAGTAGATGGAAATGTCCCATGATATAAAACAGAGTTTGATTGACAGGTCAGTTCTTCAGCCACCTGTGACTGTGACACATTTACATTCATGTTCTTGATCATAATAAAACGTATTTCTGTGGTATGTAGCTCAGCTGACTTTTGCATGTGCGCAGTGAATCTGTTCATCATTTATACACAATCTATGAGTGCGACAGAGTTCTGAAAGAAAACACTTTGAGCCATTGAGAGACTGGTTAAATCATTTTGTATTATATAGTTCACTTGCTTATGAAACTCTCACCACACTGACCTTCTGACCTTGAGGTTAAATCTTTGAAATAGTCTTTCCAGCAGACGTCTGTGTGTGGATTTGACTAAGAATGAATTGATCTGCTGATCACTGTTTGTTTATACGTGCATCTGATTCACTAAAGGAGTCATGCAGTTCATAAAGCAGCAGATCTCAAATCTGGATATACTCATATTGTATTATTATAACGCTCCTCTCCGTCATGCTATCGCCTTGTTATGAATTACCGTTGCCATAATCAGTAGAAAATGCACAAACAACCATACATTTATTTACCAGCTGCTTTACAGTGGGTGATAACAGTGCAACATGATTTGAGCAAGACAATCTATAATAAGTCTCATTTACATAGAAAGTGTTTGCGATGAAAAGAAATTACTCACAGTTCAGTGTTAAACCTGTTAAACCGGACTGCGTTTAAACAAGCTTTTAATATAAAAAAAAGACTTATTTCGACTGCATTTATTTGATCAAAAATACAGTAAAAATTGTGAAATATTATTATAATTTAAAATA